ATGAGATGAGATTGCCCAGGGATACCAGGTGGCAGAGGATTTAACCTTTGGGGATCCTTGATCCCTTTGAGAATGTGAAAAAGCTATGGATGCTCTTTCCAGAAAAATGAACATATTGAAAACCACACCAACATACACACAATTTCAAGGGATCCTTAGATTCAGGATCTTTGATATATAGAGGACAGAGAAGTAGCCTGAGGAAGCAGATATTCAAGGGATGGGACAAGATGAAGGGAGCAGGAAAGGAGCCAAAGAAAGATGGCCCAAGAGGCACTCAAAGAACAAGAAGACAAGTGTTGGAAAGCTGTGAAGCACAGAGATCCAAAGAGGACATGATCAGCGGTGTTAGTGTCCCTGTTGCCACCACTGTGATGGAGTCAAAAGCCAGAAAGCAACAGTCAAAGGAATTATATGAGAAAATGGAGATGTTTGGTTTGTTGAGTAGAAGAGACATGAAGGGCAGTAAAAATAAGAAATGAAAACAAGACAGAGATTTGTCTCCAAGAAGGAGACACATGCATTTCTATGTTATACACCAAGAAAAAGAAAGAGGGGAAAACAGAGAGGCTCAAGACACAGAGAGAAGTGGCTGAAGGGCCAGGCATCCAGGAAGAGAGCCTGGACTTGAAGAAGAAAGGGCCCCCAACCTGGGAAAGCAAGGCAAGGAGGCCTGTGGCAGATATAACTTCCTCCAAGTATGAATTGAAGTGGATCAGCCCCAGTGGCCCCTACTTTCTCCGTAACATTAGAGGTGAGGTTGACTGCTGAGAGTAGAGATGAATTCTGTGGAGGACTGGAGGATAATGCCTGTCTTTTAGAATCACTGATGAGGGATGTTTGGGAGATGAAGCTGAACAAGGACAAAGAAAAGAATGGCTCAGCAGGCTAGAGACAGAGCTCAGTCATGGTCCCGACGGGAAGCAGATGGCACATTCAAGTGATATAACTGAGAAGCATGTCCAGAAGGGAATATCCACCACGGTGTGAACAGGGTTAAGGGAAACTCGTAAAGGATGTTGAAGCACCCTGGAACTAGCTAGAGTGGGGAGCCATTCCCATCCCCAGACCTAAGGGGAAAGGGGAGGGAGCAGATCCCAGCTCCAAAGGGAAAGGGGGTAATTTAGGAGAGGGCTGCCACACTGGCACTCATATGGCACAGATGCTGACATTATCTGAAGCCAGGCAGCCTTCTTTGTCTCCAGGTTCTGGTGACTGCTCCATCCTCTTGTCCCAGTCCCAGGGGATTCTGCGATTACTTGTGGTTTCACTATACTCTTTCTATACTTTTATAAATATCTCTTTATTAGATTATCCAATTTGAGTACACCATCTATTTCCTGAAGAAAACCTGACATATATGGTTCTTTAAAAAGACTGATAAAATAGACAAACTCTGTATAGAAGAACAAAAGAGGAGATGAATAATGATAGGAATAAAAACGGAGACAAAAGGCCAGGCGCAGTCGCTCACGCCTCTAATCACAGCACTCTGGGAGGCGGAGGCAGGTGGATCACTTGAAGCCAGGAGTTTAAGACCAGCCTGGTCAACATGGTGAAAGCCCATCTCTATGAAAAAAATACAAAAATTGGCCAAACATAGTGGTGCACACTTGTAATCTTAGCTACTCCAGAGGCTGAGGCAGGAGAATCACACGAACCTGGGAGGTGGAGGTTGCAGTGAGCTGAGATCGTGCCACTGTACTCCAGCCTGGGTGACAGGCAAGGCTCTGTCTCAAACTAAATAAATTTTTAAAAGGGGGTGAGACAAAGTACAGTTATAGCATGGATTTTTAAATATTCATACTATGAACAATTTTATGCCAACAAATTTGAAAATTTACAAGAAATGTACATATGGACAAATTCATAGAAAATGTATAACTTAAAACTCAAGAAGAAATTAAAAGCCAGACTAGCCGGGCGCGGTGGCTCAAGCCTGTAATCCCAGCACTTTGGGAGGCTGAGGCGGGTGGATCACGAGATCAAGAGATCGAGACCATCCTGGCCAACATGGTGAAACCCCGACTCTACTAAAAATACAAAAAATTAGCTGGGCATGGTGGCACGTGCCTGTAATCCCAGCTACTCAGGAGGCTGAGGCAGGAGAATTGCCTGAACCCGGGAGGCGGAGGTTGCGGTGAGCCGAGATCGCGCCATTGCACTCTAGCCTGGGTAACAAGAGCGAAACTCCGTCTCAAAAAAAAAAAAAAAAGCCAGACTAGATCTACTGCTGTTAAAGAACCTGAAACAATGGATTAAAAATCTCCCCATAAAAGAATGTTTTATGTAGCATCTGTAAATATTTCTAATGTCTTTTTTTTTTTTAGAAAAAAAAATTTTTTTCCCCACTGGATAAATTTTTATTGAGCCACTCAGTTTACAGCATGAGGTAAAAGGAGTTTCCCTTGACCACTATTTTACATAGCTGTAGGAAGGTATTTTAGACTTCAGGGATTCATAAGGGATTACATCTCTCAAAAGTTGGGATCAAGTAAACAAATTTTATTAACTCCTTGAATTTTCCAGTTGACTCTTCCCTTAACAATAGTAACAAGTTCTAACTAGTTATGTAAGTTTCTTCAAGGCCAAGTTTTGTCATTGTTGCTGATAGCCTTAGAGCTGAAGCACTGCTATTTCAATCAATATCCACCAGTTCCACTTCAAAAATGAGTGTTGCATTTGGTGGAGTTTTGGCATCAGGCTGTCCTTTCTTTCCATACGCCCATTCTGGTTCAATCTCCAGTCGAGCCTTTTCTCCTTTACTCATAGTCAAGAGAGCTTCATCCCATCCTCTGATAACTTTGCCTACTCCGACCTTAAAACTTAAAGGCTTGGCATTTTTCTTCTTCTTTGCACTTGTTTGAATATTAGTATCAAAAACAGTCCCATCTTGTAGTGTTCCTGTATACCAGCAGTGAACAACATCTCCCTTTTTGGGAAAATTGGTTTTATCTCCCTTTTTCAGAACAGATTTTGTATATTTTGGTGGACCCTCACCCAGAGTCTCTTCAGACTTGGCTTCTTTGGGTTTATCTTCATTAAGCTTCACGTTTTTTACTTCCTCAGACACTTTACTTATATTATACTTTCAGTGCCCTTAAAATGCTTAGTTTCAAAAAGATGGTTATAGGCTGTAACCAAGTGGTCCTTGTTAGCGGTCTTGGCCACATTTTTAATGTTTCCTAATAAATTATGTTCTGCAAAAAAACGAATCTGAACCGTGATCCTGCAGAAACTTGATAATGTCCTTCTTGGGCAGCTGCTCACTGTGCAGCTGCTCCACGGTCCACGCCTGCTGTGGAACAGCCGCCGCCATCTTCCCCCCTGCCTCTGCTTTCAAGAAAAAAATTTTAATGGAGATGAGGTCTCGCTGTATTCCCCAGGTTTGTCTTGAACTCCTGGGCTCGAGTGATTCTCCTGCCTCAGCTTCCCAAAGTGCTGGGTTACAGGTATGAACCACTCTAATGTCTTTTTAAAAATCTGATCCAACAATCCTGGGTACCTGTATGTACTTCTTATCCTAGGGGTAGCTCTAACAGGCTGTGGGAAGCATCTGTTTTCTTCATTGTCATACCCCAAGCCTAGCACCGTCTTGGCTTAAACTTAACATAATTAAATGATGGCAGGAAAGTTAGAACATCTAGGAGATCAGTAGACATATGAATCACTTCTGGAACACTGAAATTCATTATTTGATCCTTTTGTTAATAGTGCCAAAGTACATTATTAGGAAGTTCCTGAGAGAAACAGCTGATTAACGTTACCACAAAGGGCCAGAACCCACACAGGTGTGGTGACTCACGCCTGTAATCCCAGCACTTTGTGAAGCCAAGGCGGGCGGGTTACTTGAGGTCAGGAGTTTAAGACAAACCTGGCCAACCTGGCAAAATCTTGTTTCTATTGAAAATACATATATACAAAAATTAGCCAGGCATGGTGGCAGCCACCTGTAATCCCAGCTACTTGGGAGGCTGAGGCAGGAGAATCTCTAGAACCTGGGAGGTAGAAGCTTCAGTGAGCCCCGATCATGCCACTGCACTCCAGCCTGGGCGACAGAATGAGACTACCTAAAAAAGGCCAGAACCCAATTCAGATATACGAGAAGTTTTTCAGTAACGTTCAAGCTACTTATATTTGTTCCCTCAGCCATATAGTTATGACCTGCAGTAAAACTTCTGAAATAAATATTTTCCTTAAAGGCACTAAGAATCATGGTCTTATCACCATGACAAGAGGGTCCTAACTTTCGTTTTTGATGTAGGGAAATTAACTTAGTTTTTATTTTTATTCAGAAGTTTTACAAAGTCATGTGGGTTTCAGCTGAACACAGGATGTGGGCATAGAACACAGGGCTGCTTGAGGGTTAGATGAGGCTTGGGAGGGTGTTGGGTAGCTATGTTTTTGGTTTTTGTTATTGTTTTTACTCCTGAGCTTCTGGTCCAGTTTGCCATTAGAGCAGCCAAGAGAATGTAAGATTGTGTATCTCATGCAAAAGTGTTTTTACCATGAATATCTGACTTTCGAATTCATAAGGGTCCCTCATGAGTCAGAGCTGAGTAGCTGACTTAAGCTTACATGACCCAGTGAAGGGCAAGCATCATCAGGTGGACTTGAGGGCTTCAAGTACACTGCCGTGAAGCACCAAGAACTTGGTTGCTAGGCATCCTCCCCAGGATCTACCCAGGACTTTCCTATCCAATTTTGTTAAAGCAAAACCTAGGGATTAAATAAAATGCAACCTCACAAAGTACCAATGAAGAGTGTGGAAAACAGGAATCCTCTTTTTAAATATCTGCCCCCAAATATCAATCCCAATAAACTATACTGAAAAGTATGGATGGCTAAAAATGTAGTTTATGCCTTTGCTCTGTTCAAGGATTTTTTAAATCTTAAACTATGTTCTCACACCAGGCCCCAATGGTTGGAGGATGCTGGCCCTTTAATGAGTGAGCAGGGGAGGAGCTGGGACTTTTAAAGCCAGGAGCAGCAAACAGGTCCTGGCCCAGGCTGCTATGGATAACTTAAGCAGAATGGACAGCAACAGTAAGGTGGTGAGTGTCAGCAAAGAGGCATCACCACACATGGACGGTGATTGGTGGTGTCCATTGGCAAGTACTTCTCTTCCAGCTCCTAGCCCTGTTCCTCATTTCTGTCCCTTTATGGGACAGCTCCTTAGAGCTGAGCTGAGCTGGAAAGGTGGGGGTTTATGGCAGTCTGACAGCCCAGGGTCTCTTTCCTTGAGACCATGGCCCAGAATTCTCTAATCATCTTGCTGGGAGGATTCCATGGCTAGGGTGCAATGTCATCCTTACTGACTGAGGATGGTGCCTCTTGGTCTCTTTCTTGTCTCAGGTTTACCTTCTAGAGGCTGGCAGTGCTCTTTCACTGGAGGACACAGGCAAGAAGGAAGTCCAGCAGCCTGCCAAGATAAAATGCCTTGAAGGTATCCACACTCATATATAAATTGCCCCAGCGTGGTGTTATATAAATTGCACCAGCGTGCGGAGCTTACTGGTCTGTTTCACATGTGGGCTTGGATGCCCAGAGTCACTGGAAGTTATTCCAAATTCTTTCACTTGCTAATTAAATAACAGTAGGTGACTGAGAGGTCACTCTTCTGGGCTTTATTTTTCTCACCAACCTAGTAAAATTACCAGTAACAACCCAGACAGCCTCATATGACTGCTAAATGAACATATGCACAAAAAGTATCTGGCACACAGTAGGGTTAAATTGCAGTGAGTTGGGCCAGCTGGAGCTTGTTCAAAGAGGCAACAGGGCATTGGGTGGGGCAGAGCAGGTGGAAAAGGCTGTGCTAAAACCCAGTGAGGCAATGGAAGAGGGGATGTGGGAAGTGAAGGTGTTTGGCATCTGCCAGATTCCTTTTGTTTGCTTTTTAAATTCTGATTTATTTATTTAGAAACAGTCTCACTGTGTTGCCCGGGCTGATCTCAAACTCCTGGGCCCAAGTGGTCTTCCCACCTTGGCCTCCCAAGTAGGTGGGACTACGTGCACAAGCTACCACACCTGGCTCAGGTTCCATTTGACTTAGTGGGGAGTGGTTCAGGCACTTTGGGAGTAGGAAGGCTGAGCTAAACCTACAGAACAGGAGGTGTTAGGTTCGAAGGTGGTGCTGGAGATGGCTTATGAACAGAAGTGCTACTGAGTAGCAGCCTCTCTAGACAAGACTCACACCTGAGCCCCCATCTTACCTTCTCCTCTGGCCCACACTTAAACCAAGAGCCAGCTAAGACCTGTGGCCCTTTGGCTCCTGAGGAGGAGCTGGTGTCTGCCGGCCAATTGGAAGAAGAAGAAAATGAAGGGGAGGAGGAGGAAAAAGAGGAGGATCTGGACCCAGATCTGGACCCAGACCTGGAGGAGGAAGAAGAGGAAGAGAATGATCTTGGGGATCCAGCCATACTTGGCACTGTTCATAACTCCCAGGTACCATGGCAGGAGGGAAAGGGAGAGGGTTGTCCTGAACTGTCGATGGCTCACAGGCTGTCACTAAACATTCCTCTTCTGTTTTCCACCCTTTTCTTTGTTTTTTTTTTTTTTTTTTTTTTCTCCCAAAGATGGGGTTTCACCATGATGGCCAGGCTGATCTTGAACTCCTGACCTCAGGTGATCCACCTACCTCAGCCTCCCAAAGTGCGAGGATTACAGGCATGAACCACCATGCCCAGCTCCACCCTTTTCTAAGACAGGTTCTGGATTAACACTTTCTTTTTAAGCCTTGAGCCTGAGTTAGGGACTCTCTCCTTTCCTCTTACCTCCTGTCTCCCACTTATTTTCTGATGCTGTTCTCACCTTAAAACCAGGTCCTAGCAGAGCTGTGCATCGCCCACAGGCGGTGGCCCTGCTACTGGCACTAAAGGTGAGTCAATTTTGCCTGATACTGGGCCCCTCTGCCTTAGCAGTCCTTTCCTGGTATTTGTTCCCTTGGATCCCATAACTAGTGGAGAGAGACAAGGTCTCCCATCTAGGTATGAAGTGACTCAGACCTTCCTTCAACCTACTCCTAAGATACAGTAGCGCATGATTTCACTTTCTGCCATTTCAGTTACCCTTGGTCAACTATAGTCTGAAAATAGGCAAGTACAGTACAATAAGGTATTTTAAGAGAGACTATATTCACATAACTTTTATTGCAGTATATTAATAATTGTTCTATTTTTATTGTTCATTTCTTATTGTACCAAATTTATCAATAAAACTGGCTAGGTGCACTGGCTCATATCTGTAATCACAGCACTTGAGGATTGCTTGAGGCCAGGAGTTCCAGACCAGACTGGACAACAGAGCAAGATCCTATCTCTAAAAAAAAAAAAAAAAAAAAAAATCAAAAATTAGCCAGATATGGTAGCACATGCCTGTAGTCTCAGCTACTTAGGAGTCTGAGGCAGGAAGATGGCTTGAGCCCAGGAGTTTGAGATAAACTCAAGGTCTCAGTGAGCTGAGATAGCACCACTGCGCTCCAGCCAGCCTGGGTAACAGAGCAATCCCAGCACTTGTAATCCCTCAAGTGCTGGGATTACAGATATGAGCCACTGTACATAGCCAATTTAATTTATAAATTAGGTACAATAAGAAATTAACATCAATAATAAAAACAGAACAAATATGACAACACACTGTAATAAAAGTTATGTGAATCAGCTGCAGTGAGCTATGATTGTGCCACTGTATTCCAGCCTGGGTGACAGAGCAAGACCCTGACTCTAAAAAAAATTTTTTTAAATATATAAACTATCATAGGTATGTACATATAAGAAAAAGCACTATACACAGGTTTAGTATTACCCAGTTTCAGGCATCCCTTGGGGGTCCTGAGACATATCACTGATAAGTAAGGGAAGATCACTGTACTAGTCTTATTACTCCCAGGAGAGGAAGAGGGATCCTGGTCCAGTTGACTTTGAATCTGAGGGACAGCCAAGCTGCCACTACCCTGGGTGTTAGAATAGCTGGTCTTGCTGCCTCCTCCCACCTCCTCAAAAACACAGGTAAATGTAGGAGACACTAGGGGAGCCCATTCGAGCCTGGTTTTTCCTCCCTCCTGTTCCAGAGAATTCTGCTCAGCTCCCCTGGAGTCAAGGTCCCTGGAGTGCTGGGAATGTCACCTGCCTCCTTGCACATTCCGTGGCAGGTGAGTCTGCTGCAGTCTCCATACTGTGGGTCGTAAGGATTCCATCCATTGTGTTCAGTCTACCCTCAACCCTGGTCTGGAGTTAATGTGCCCAAAGTGAGGTATGGGTGTGGTGTGCCCAACCAGGGGCATGGATAGACACCTTAATACATGGTACTGGCACAACTGGCCATTTGTATGAACAAGGACAGACTAGATCCCTACTCCTGCCTTAGGCAATCTTTGAGCAGATGCCCAGCCCTTAGCTGGAAAGAGCATCTGCCCTTCAGTTAACTGTGTAATGGAAACATGGCCCGGGATATAGGAACTCAAGGACCAGGAAATCCTGCAGGGAGAACTACAAGAAATTACAGCTCTGAGGAGGGCTTCAAGTGAGTCAGAAAAAGGCAAATGAGTACTGCCCCAGCAGCTGAAGACAAACAGCCCAAGAGAAGAGAGGGGAGTTAGAGGTGTTGACTTTCCAAATAGGAAGGAAAAGCACATTACCCCACATAGTCAGGGAACAAAGAGCTGCTTCCTAGTCAAACCCTGTTGAAACAAGGGCAGGAACCGTAGTCTGGTGCCCTCAAAGGTGTCTTGAGGGGCTCAAAAGATGCTCACACGATGCTGGGTGAATTTCTTGATGGGGAAAGGCAGGAAAGGAACCGAGCCCTTGCAACAAGAGCAGCATTCTTTTGGTGAAGGTGGCATACTCCCAGACCTCTTAATTCCTCTCTCAGACCCTGGACTACCTGTCACCCATCCCTTTCTGGCCAACATTTCCCAGAGCCAGCTCTCCAGCACGGCAATTTGGACCTCGGCTGGCTCCACCAGACCCATCTCTCTTCTGCAGCCTGCTGACCTCGTGGCCCACTAGGTTCAGGTACTAGTTTGAGGTTCTCCCTAGAGGTCTAAGGAGGTGCTGGCTGAGGAGGGGTGGGGGCCATGCCTACCAATTGCCACAGGAAAACATAGAAATCTAGTAACAGAAGTCTGAGGTATAGTCTAATTCTTTCTCCTTCACAAATGGAGCCCCATGGAGATTAAAAATTTATTTACCAACCTGGCCAACATGGTGAAACCCCATCTATACTAAAAATACAAAAAAAAATTAGCTGGGCATGATGGTGGGCTCCTATAGTCCCAGCTACTCAGGAGGCTAAGGCAGGAGAATCTCTTGAACCGGGAGGTGGAGGTTGCAGTGAGCTGAGATCGTGCCACTGCACTCCAGCCTGGGTAACAGAGCAATACTGTCTCAATAAAAAATTAAAAATAAAAATTTATTTGTGATCAGCTAGCATGATGGAACTGAGACTAGGATTCAGAACTCCTGATGACCAGGCCAAAAGGTTTTCTACTGTGCCAAGATTTCCTGCAGCCAAATTGCAGGAAAATAGATGTTGGAGGGGCTTGGGAGCCCTGCAGCTCTAAGACCATGATGTGCCATATGGCTAACTTTGGGAAAGTACCTAAACAGTTAAGATTACTTAGATGTCTGCCTGAGCTGACCTGGGCTGAATGAATGGAGGGGTCAGAGAACTGAGAGCTCCTTTCCATCCAGCTCAAGTTACTTCTTACCTTCTCAGTCATCTGACCCAGCTCCATCCTCAGCACCAAAGGATCTTACAGCAGCAGCAGCAGCAGCAGCATAGTCAAACACCAAGGTAAAGCCCAGACGAGGAGCAGGGTTAATGGGAGACCATCTGCATGCCCAGTCTCCCCTTGTGACCAGTCATCGCCCTCAAAGCTCCAGTATGGTTAAAACTCTCGCACTGTTGCCCACCTCTGTGCTTGCTCCATCCTTCCCAGAGAGCCCCACTTGCTGCTCACCACACACTTTGGGAAGTGGCAGTGGTGGGTAAGTCTAAGGGGTTGTTCCTCCTGGCTTAAAGTCCCCCAGCCAAGAAGCCTTGGTCTCAGCAGCCTGATCCCTATGCTAACCTCATGACCAGAAAAGAGAAGGACTGGGTGATAAAAGTGCAGATGGTGCAGCTGCAGAGTGCAAAGCCCCACCTGGATGACTACTACTACCAGGTGAGCCCCACGGTGCTCTGCCCAGCATCTGACCTTGAGTCAAATGCATATGGACTCCGAGGCCCTCTCTGATCCTCTCTTTGGCTTATAGAGGTCATGTCTGTTCAGGTGGAAGAGAGAATCACTACAGGATAGGGGCCATATTTCTAAAGTAGACATTCCAAACTCATTTCTCTCTATCCTCCTACATTTCAGCCAACTAAGATTATTTCCGGTTCCCCAAACACACTTAGGTTTTGTCTCCATTCTTGGCTAAGAATTTTTCGTGTTCACTCAGGAAATAATGGACTTTCCTACCTCTGTACACTTCGAAATGTCAGGGATGTTATAAATAGTGGGATTCAGTTTGTTTAACTTAACAAACAACAGCAGACATGTTCACTCGTTTTCCCTTGTTTCCTTCCTGCCTTTCTTTATGGGACAAATCTTTGTCCACAAGTTTTTGAGTTATGTAGGCTGTTTCACTACCTCTTTTTTTTTTTTTTTTTTTTTTGAGAGTCTCCCTCTGTCATCCAGGCTAGAGTGCAGTGGCATGGTCTCAGCTCACTGCCACCTCTGCCTCCCAGGTTCAGGTGATTCTCCTGCCTCAAACTCCCAAGTAGCTGGGATTATAGGCATGCACTACCATAAGCAGCTAATTTTTGTATTTTTAGTAAAGATGGGATTTTACCATGTTGGCCAGGCTGGTCTTGAACTCCTGACCTCAAGTGATCCACCTGCCTCAGCCTCCTAAAGTGCTGAGATTACAGGCCTGAGCAACCACATCCACCTGGCTGTTTCACTTTTACCATGGTATCTGAGCCTCCCATCCAGGGCCCCACCCTTGTCCTTTCTCATTTACATTAGATATTTTTCCTTTCTTTGCACCAAGCTTCAAAAGCCCTCCTTTTCTGCCAGCGTCACTGAAAGTGAAATAGTTTTGTACTCTTGCCTTTTGGTATTGCTTCTAAACAAAGGAGCCTTTTTAAATTCCTTGTTGGCTTGTCAGTGATTTCAGTTTAGGATTTCTCAGAGTTTAGGATTTTCTCAGAGCTGCTGAGCGAATCCACAGAAGCATAAAACTGGCCTAGAGGGCAACCAACAAACATATCCCTATGGCTAGTTCTGTGCTTCAAGCTCTGGATGGCCTTCATACTATCAGGTAACTGATTTTTAAAAAGCACAGATGAAGCCACAAGATTAAATGGGAAAGTTGAGAAGACAGTTGGTGTGCAGTGTGTGTGTACTAGGACATGAGGAATGTAGGAAGGTTGCAGATGATGGAACAGGCTTGCTTACTGGCTCTCCACTTTGCTCTCTGCCCTTTCATCAGACTTGGTGGTGGTACCTAGTCTTTAGGTATCTGGTATGTGAATTCCAACATGGGTGATGTGGGGCCCAGGGTGCTTAAGACACTTTAGAATAACTGCAAGGAGGGCCTAAGATACCGGCATGATTTCTGGAATGATACTGTAGGAAAGAATGTTAAGAGGCTGTACTTAGCTGGGCACAGTGGCTCACACCTATAATCTCAGCACTTTGGGAGGCCAAGGCAGACCAAGCGCTTGAGTGCGGGAATTTAAGACCAGCCTGGGCAACATGGTGGTTCCAGCTACTGAGGAGGCTGAAGTGGGAGGATCGCTTGAGTCAAGGAGGTTGCAGTGAGCCAGAGATTGTGCCACTGCACTCCAGCTGAGTGATAGAGGGAGATCGTGTCTCAAACAAACAAAACTTACACAGAAAAGCAAACAAAAAAACTTAAGAGGCGGCATGTGAGAAACTTAATTCTAAGTTCAAAAGATGAATACAGGGTGTTTGTTTTTTCCTATTCCATGCGTTCTCAGGAATATTACCGCAAGCTAGAGAAGAAGCAGGCAGATGAAGAGCTACTTGGACGAAGAAACCGGATTAAGTCCCTCAGGCTGGTAACACCTTACATTCAGAAGGCAGAGGCTTATGAGTCAGGTGAGGTCAGGGCTGACCTGCTGACTTGGGCTGGGCATCTGGGTGGACAGAGCACAGGAGGGGGAGAGAAATGTGCCTCTCCTGACTCCTCTCATGCAGTGGTCCGAATCGAGGGTTCCCTGGGCCAGGTAGCTGTGTCAACATGTTTCAGCCCTCGCCGAGCTATTGATGCTGTACCTCATGGAACTCAAGAGCAGGTGGGAGCACTATCTCCCTAGACCTTTTTTCTCTCTCCTTTGGAAGAACGGTCTAGAACACTCTTTTGTTTGAGTTAAGACTATGACCTAAGAGAGAAGTGTGATCAAACTTTGTTTCTAGCCTTTACAGTTCAGTCTCCAGCTAGTCAGAGGCCTGGGCTGGGCTGTGGCTGTGTGGCTGATAGCTGGTGACTCTCTTCTCCTAGGATATAGGAGTTGCAAGCAGTCAGAGGCTTGGGGTATTATACCGGATTGAGAAGGTGAGATATCAGTTCCTTAGGGATAAGTTCTGAAGTTACCTTTGAGAATGAGACATTACCCAAATTTACTTCTTTTTCCACCCTCAAATTCCCAGATGTTCCTTCAGTTACTAGAAATAGAGGAAGGCTGCAAGGATAGGCCTCCACAGCCCTGCTTTTCTGAGAAGCAAAGCAACCAGGTTGAGAAGCTGTTCCAGACCTTAAAAACGCAGGAGCAGAACAACGTGGAGTGAGTGTGGGAGGGTTCCACCTCAGCCCAGGAAGGGAAGGAGCAGCAAAGACATTTGTCTTGTTTCTGCCTCTCCTTTCTGGCATGTAGCCCTCTCCTCTATGCAGAGCTCTGGAAATGCTCTCCCCTCTCCCTTGCAGGGAGGCAGCAGATGGCTTCCTGCAGGTGCTCTCTGTGAGGAAGGGCAAGGCCCTGGTGGCTCGGCTGCTCCCCTTCCTGCCCCAGGATCAGGCTGTTATCATTCTATTGGCTGTCACCCACCATCTGCCCCTCCTGATCCGGAGGGATGTGGCTGATCAGGTACTGTGGCATTAAGTGGAGAAGAGGATGGTCTCCTGAATAGGTTAGGGGCGTTCCTCTCCTTCAGTCCCCACATGCCCCAGAGATGCCAGAGAAAGTGCTGGGCACAGTGAGGGATGCTGGCCTGGCCACTCTCAGGCAAGGAAGTTACAGAACAAACAGCGAATCATCTTCAGGTACGACCAACAAAAATAAACAGGTGTATGGTTGCACAGGTGTGAGTGTGCTGTGGTTTGAGTAAAAGATTAGGAAGCCCGCCGGGCGCGGTGGCTCAAGCCTGTGATCCCAGCACTTTGGGAGGCCGAGGCGGGTGGATCACGAGGTCGAGAGATCGAGACCATCCTGGTCAACATGGTGAAACCCTGTCTCTACTAAAGGTGCAAAAAATTAGCTGGGCATGGTGGCGTGTGCCTGTAATCCCAGCTACTTAGGAGGCTGAGGCAGGAGAATTGCCTGAGCCCAGGAGGCGGAGGTTGCGGTGAGCCGAGATCGCGCCATTGCACTCCAGCCTGGGTAACAAGGGCGAAACTCCGTCTCAAAAAAAAAAAAAAAAAAAAAAAAAAGATTAGGAAGCCCTGATAAATGTTGAACCCCTATCTACTTCGCTGAGAGAAGGCATCCTAGGACAAATGGGTACTGAAGGTGTCAATGTTGGGGATGAAGAGTCATAGTGGTGATGAGCCTGGTAAGTAACCTGACCAGGAGGTACCAAAGGCAGGACAGTAAGGGAAGGGGCTGGAAGCAAGGTAAGGGGAGGTGAAGTTGTAGTGGAATTTGGGAGGTGCTTACTGATCTTCTTGCAGGCCCTACAAATGTTGTTGAAACCTCTGGGCAAGTGTATCAGTCACCTGACCCTCCACGAACTCCTCCAAGGACTTCAGGGACTAATGCTGTCACCACCTGGCTCCTCAGAGCGGCCACTCACTGTGGTGCTTCAGAATCAGGTAACATGTCTAGGAGGATTTTGTCTTTCCATAGATGGCTTTCAAGTTGGTAACACTGATAAGAGATAAGTTGGGGGACAGTTTCATTTCTCCACAAATCTTATCCTCTGCAATTTCTAGTAAGCATGGGATCACCTGGCAAGCTTACTAACCCCCGCTCCTTGGTCCCACTCACAGTCCTTCATTGGGTCTGGTGTGGGGCCCAGGTACCTTCTCTGCTTTTCTAGCAAGCTCCCTGATTGCTGCTGATGTGAGCCTCTAGAGCATGTCTCCAAACTCGTGTGTACCTCTTTGAGTGGAAAAAAAAAAAATCTAAACCCACGTGTTTATAAATCAAATACATGCAACACTAGTAATATTAGGCACATAATATTTTATTTTTATTTATTTTTTAGATAGGCTTACTCTGTCACCCAGGCTGGAGTGCACTGGCATGATCTTGGCTCACTGTAACCTCCACCTCCCAGGTTCAAATGATTCTCATGCCTCAGCCTCCCAAGTAGCTGGGATTACAGGTGTACATCACCACACCTAGCTAATTTTTGTATTTTTAGTAGAGACATAGTTTCACCATGTTGGCCAGGCTGGTCTTGAACTCCTAACTTTAAGTGATCCGCCCACCTTGGCCTCCAAAAGTGTTGGGATTACAGGCATGAGCCACCATGCCTGGCCAATAGGTACATAATAAAAGATAGAAATTTTTAAAGAATGAGACTCTAGATGTCAAAGTTATGATGCTGTCTTCCAATATCACGGTGGATTATCTTGTGTATGCCACACTGAAGGTCTTTGCTTAAAGTAGTGCCTCTTAAAGTGTGGTCCACAGAATACCTGCCCGAGATTCCTGGATGCATTCCCAATCTCCTACGAGTCCAGCTGAGAATTATGCATTTAATCAGCTCTCCAAGAGTGTCTTTTGAACTGTTCAGAGCAGTGATTCCTATGGAAAGGTTACAGAGTTCTTTGGCTTACCAGTGTAAAACCTGACAGCCCTTGTGGGTATTTTGTGCTCCATCTCTAAATGTGAACCTGCCCTTTAGCTGGGAAGATAAGAGTCAGGAAAGCACCGAATACTGAGAGTGAACTCATTTTGCCCTGGAATATATGTATGTCACTTGCAGTTTGGAATATCTTTGCTCTATGGCCTGCTGAGTCATGGGGAGCAGCTGGTATCACTGGATTCTTCCCTAGAGGAACCCAACACTGACCGTACAGCTTGGTAAGATCATAAAGGCCTTGTAAATACTATCTTGGTACCCCTGGGATGTGTAGACTGAGCCAGATGAAGTATTTTCTGAGGCATTTTCAAGTACTGAGGAGAAGGTTGGATACAGAAAGAAATAGCATCTTGTAGCTGTTCTGCTTTTTTTCTATAGTGCCCTAAAGTTTTGGTTTCTATTGGGAGGCAATATAACACAGTACCTAAGGGGACAACCTTTAGAGTTTGGACTGGGTGCGGTGGCTCACAACTGTAATCCCAGCACTTTGGGAGGCCAAGGCAGGCAGATCACCTGAGATCAGAAGTTCGAGACCATCCTGGCAAACATGGTGAACCCCGTCTCTACTAAACATACAAAAGTTAGCTGGGTATGGTCACAGGCACCTGTAATCCTAGCTACCTGGGAGGCTGAGGCAGGAGAATTGCTTGAACCCAGGAGGCAGAAGTTGCAGTGAGCAGAGATCGCACCATTACACTCTAGCCTGGGAAACAAGAACGAAACTTAACCTCAAAAAAAAAAAAAAAAAAAAACACACACACACACAAAAAACCTAGGTTTGAATTCTGGCAGTATCACATTATTAGCAATCTATCTTTAGGGCAAATTCTTTCACTTCTCCTAGTATGTTTCTTTATAAGCTAGAGATTAACCTCTCGGAGTTCTTAAATAAGAAGGGAAATGTGTAAAGCACTAAGCATTGCTTGGTGTGTACCAAACATGCAAATGTTATCTCTGAATTGCTACCTGGGGCGGGGGACAATGGTAGTAGCAATGGAAAGATACTAAGAAACCTTGGCCCTGAGTCTGTTTCCTAAGCAAATTTATTTGCTAATGTTTGTATTTATGCTCTCTAGGACAGACATGGTGGTTCTGATTGCCTGGGAGATAGCCCAGATGCCTGCAGCCTCTCTGGCAGAACCCCCGGCTTTCCCCAGCAACCTACTTCCCCTGTTCTGTCACCATGTGGACAAACAATTGGTTCAGCAGCTGGAGGCCAGGATGAAGTAAGTAATAGCAGAAACAAAGTCAAAGACCCTTGTTCAAGCCCAATCTATGTTCTGTTACTTGCTTCACTACTTCCTTCTTTTAAATTATGAGAATAAAGGATCATGTAGAAGTAGTTCTACACACTGACATTTACTGAGTAACCAGTCTTGACCAAGTCTTCAGCCAAACCTTTTAATTTATTCCAGGAGCTTTGGCCATTTATAGTGCTAAGCTATTTGAGGGCGAGAATTAATTTGAGAACCTGAATTCATTCATTCAACAAATACTTGAGGAACGACTATTTCAGGATGTAAGCATGAATAGCATGGTCATCTCTGTCCTCAGAATTATTGCTAGAAAGAGCCAGATACAAATCAAATTATATAAGTACTTGTAAAGTAGAATTGTGCTTGTAGTTAACACTTGTTCTCTCTATAGGTTTGCCTGGATCTAGTGATCTGTTTGTTCTGGAATACATATATCTTGGAAGTTGAATCATCAGACACTAGCTGCATAGACTATGTTTACAGGGATCCAGAGAGTCTGAAGACATTTCTTACATCTTCACATATTGGAGAACCCTTCCCCAAACATTTTCATATCCTTTCTTCAAGAACCTAAATGATGTGCCTAAAAATAAGACATGGCATAGTAAGATATAATTAAAGAGCTAAGAGAATGATGTGTTGGAACTTGCTTGTAAGTTAGGGCCTATAATGAAGGCTATCTTCTGTGTGAGTGCTCCAGGAATATCTTTTTTTTAGACAGGCGGGAGTGCAGTGGCACCATCATGACTCACTGCAGCATTGACCTCCAGGATCAAGTGATCCTCCTACCAGTCTTCTGAATAGCTGGGATTACAGACATGCGATGCCACACCCAGCTAATACTAAAATTTTTTTTTTTTTTTTGAGACTGAGTTTCGCTCTTGTTACCCAGGCTGGAGTGCAATGGCGCGATCTTGGCTCACCGCAACCTCCACCTCCTGGGTTCAGGCAATTCTCCTGCCTCAGCCTGCTGAGTAGCTGGGATTACAGGCACGCACCACCATGCCCAGCTAATTTTTTGTATTTTTAGTAGAGATGGGTTTCACCATGTTGACCAGGATGGTCTTGATCTCTTGACCTCGTGATCCACCCGCCTTGGCCTCCCAAAGTGCTGGGATTACAGGCTTGAGCCACCGCACCCAGCCGGTAAATTTTTAAATTTTTTTAGAGAGACAGGGTCTCCCTCTGTTGCCCAGGGTGGATTCCAGTGATTCTCCCTACTTGGCCTCCCAAAGTGCTGGGATTACAGGCATGAAAAGAATGTCCTGATTATGAGGGACAAGGCCTTGTTGTAGCTAATACAAGTGTAACCTTAGAAATTGCTTTAATGTTGCCATTTTTTTTTTTTCTTTTTTTTGAGACGGAGTTTTGCTCTTGTTACCCAGGCTGGAGTGCAATGGTGCGATCTTGGCTCACCGCAACCTCCGCCTCCTGGGTTCAGGCAATTCTGCCTCAGCCTCCTGAGTAGCTCGGATTACAGGCATGTGCCACCATGCCCAGCTAATTTTTTGTATTTTTAGTAGAGACGGGGTTTCACCATGTTGACCAGGATGGTCTCGATTTTTTGACCTTGTGATCCACCCGCCTCACCCTCCCAAAGTGCTGGGATTACAGGCTTGAGCCACCGCGCCCGGCCAATGTTGTCATTTTTTATGCAGAGAAAATAGCTTCAGCTGAGCTTAGAAGGTTGACTGTATCTCCCTTGTAATAGAAAATGTTTGGTTTCAGCCAGGTGCAGTGGCTCATGCCTGTAATCTTAGCACTTTGGGAGGCTGAGGCAAGTAAATTACCTGAGGTTAGGAATTTAAAACCAGCCTGGCCAACATGGTGAAACTGTCTCTACTAAAACACAAAAATTAGCCAGTTGTGGCCTACAATCCCAGCTACTCTAGAGACTGAGGCAGGAAAATTGCTTGAGCAGAGAAGGCGTAGGTTGCAGGGAGCCGAGATCACGCCACTGCACTCGGGCCTGGGTGACAGCCAGATTCCACCTTAAAAAAAAAAAAATAAGATCACGCATTCATGAACAAATGCTGGAGTACCTTTCATGAAACAGGCACTGTTTTAGGTACTAGCCGGGACAGTAGTGAGCGACAAAGTCCCTGCTCGTTTGAAGGAACTGGCAGAAGATAACAAGTAGTGATAAATACTATGATTAAAAACAAAACTAGGTAAGAGAGACTGCAGTAGAAGGGATTTTAGATTGAATGGTCCAGAGAGGCCTGTCAATAGAGGTTTCATTTATGCTGAAATGCTCTGAATGTGGAAAATGATGTGTTGATAAGAAGGTACGGCTATCTTTTAGGAGGCTTTTCCAAAATGCCTACACGACCCCTCTTCTCATCTCAAAGCCTTTGCTCCTTTGCTGCTCTCCTTCTCTGCTGATGATCTTGGATCATACTCCTGAGACAACAGACAGGAACTCTACCATCTCCACCCTTTACTGACCCCGTGTCTTTGCCTGCTACAAGGGACGTTGTTTGACTTCAACACCTTCATTATGGATCCACGCTGTGAGACTTGTTCCATGCTACCAAGGAAATGGCACCACCCCACAGTCTGTAAGCAAACACAAAAAGAAAAGCGAAGAAAAGAGGCAGGAACTGGGTTCCAGGGGAGCAGGAGGCAATTGGACCAAGAAGGCAAAGGGTAATGCCACAGAGCGAGAACAGCGGCAAGGGCCTGCTCCGCTAAGCTAGGCCTTCAAGCATGCCAGGCTAGTAAAGCAGACTGGGACTGGGGCCAGGGCAGATGTGGCTTTGCCGGAGAGGCTGGTACCGCCCCCCACAGGAAAGGAATGGAACCGACCGGAGACAGCCGAGAGGTCCGTGCGGGAGTCACGAGACCGAGCGTGAGCCGCTCCGTATACCGCGCATGCCCATCGCAGTCATGTTCCGTTTAAACGACCGGAAGTAACGACCGGGCCAAGATGGCTGCAGAGGAGGAGGTCCGGAGTGCTGCTTCCGCCCGCACTGCAGCCATGGAGCGGGTTCTATCCATGCTGTTGGTGCGGGTCCCCGCCGAAGCTATGGGGCAGCTGGGCTCCCACGCGCAGCTGCACACACAGCAAGAGGTTCTGGGGAGCCTGACGGCTGCGGGCAGCCTCCAGGTGCTTTCTTTGGCGCCTGGCAGCCAGGGCGGGGGTCGCTGCTGCCTGGAGGGCCCCTTTCGGCAGTAAGTGCTGGGGAGAGCTGGGCAGTTGGGGGGGGAGTACGGAGCTGGCCGAGCGCCAAGGGATCACGCCGAGGTTTTCCTGCAGGTGTAGAGGTGGTGGGAGAGGGATGACAGCCGCAAGAAACGCCCCAGAGGTGAGCCTGGTTTCCTCTAAGAACCTTTTCCTCAACCTCAAGCGCTCTCCTTGTTGTATTCTGGCAGCCCGGCTCCCTTGTTCTGTGTGGGCAGAGACGGCATCCAGCTCCTCTGCCACCTGCGGCGAACCCGGAGAGGGTTCCAGCTGAGGCGCTGATTACTTATTTATTCAACACAGGTTGATTAACAGTGAGAGGGTCGAGTCCCATGCCCTTTTCTTCTTTCAGTTAAAGAAGACAGCTGAGGATCATCTCTAGTTTGAATCATCCTGATACCTTTTTCATGTCCTTGAAATGAATAGCGTTTTCCTTCAAATATAGTGCTCTTCAAGGACAGAGTCCAGTTGTCCCTTCACTTACTTACTCAACAAATATGTGTGCCTGCTGTTACACAGGAGCAGTGCCTAAAAAGTTGAGTAAGACAGTTTCTTGTGAAGCGCGCATGTTTTGGGAAGACGGACATAATTACAATAATGGCGTTACGTTCTACTTCTGGAACTCTCGGTTCAGTACTTGAGACTTGACATCATAAAGTTTGGGAGTGCCTTCTTGGTGTTTTGAGTGGGCTTGTTTTTTAAAAAAGATAACTTCGCTGTTGCCCAGGCTGGAGTGCAGTAGCTCAGTCACGGGTCACGGCAGCCAGCCTCAACCTCCTGGGCTCAGCCTCCCGAGTAGCATAGCTAGAGCTACAGGTGTGCGCCACCAGGCCTGGCTAATTTTTCTGTTTTTTGTAGAGATGAGGTCTCGCTATGTTGCCTAGGCTAGTCTCAAACTGCTGAGCTCAAATGATCCTCCCGCCTCTGCCTGCCAAAGTGTTGGGATTACAGGCGTGAGCCACTGAGCCTGACCGGTTTTTCGTTTGTTTTGTTTTTTTTTTTAATAATAAGTATTTTCAAAACTGTTTAAGACGAGTAGCCAAAAGATGTCTTATTCATCTTGGAATCTTCAGCTCCTCTAACAGTTCCTCACACTTAAAGATTAATTTGATAAATCAGTGAATGCTTAACCTCTTCTGGATTTGTCTTCCCTACCCTTGGTGTCTAGTTGCTAAGAAGAGGAAAATTGCGTTTGGTTTATAAACTATTATTTATAAACTAAGTTATTTATAAACTAGCTTAGGGGAAGTTAGTTTATTTAGCAATATCAAGTACCTATAATTGTGGCTCTGTAAAGAGAGGAATGGGGCAGAAAGAAGAGAAGTAGAAATCATTAGGTGTTTAAGAACCCAGCAGAGAAGGTAAGACCCATATGAAATAAAGTGGGCGTTCATATGCTAGTTCATGAAATTTGATTGGAGGAGGACCAAGAAAGGTCTTTTTAATTTTTTAATTTAAATTGAATTTTAATTAAGTTAAAACGTTTCACAGGGTAGCATGGTTAAAGTATTTAGAGTTACCTACTTTTTCAAAGTACATAGGTCTTTATATATCTTATTGCATTGAGAATTTCCTGTCTTTCCATGTGGCAATATTGTCCCTATGCTAATGATGTCATAGTCCTCTTTCTTTTAAATATATCTTGGTTTAAGTTTTGTATATTTGACATTAGGTTTTCTACATTTATAAATGTGAACAGAAACGTCAATCTTTTTATCTAATAAGGATTTAATAGCACTTTAATAATAGAGAATTACTATAGTAGTATAAAATATGTAATAGTGCATAATATGTACTTTTATTAGTTTTATTACTAATTGTATTAAATCGTGTGTACCACAGTAGTTTTATACACTACTCCAGAAGTATAAAACGTACTGCTTCTGTAGAAAAAACAACCCTTTTATTTTATTTTATTTTTTAAGACGGAATTTCACCATGTTGGTCAGGCTGGTCTTGAACTCCAGACCTCAGGTAATCCACCTGCCTTGGCTTCCAAAGTGCTTGGATTACAGGTGTGAGCCACCACGCCCGGCCTAAAGCAACCTTCTTAAAGGATGAAATTTTACCAGCATGGTATAGCCTTACCTCTTCAATGCATTGTTTTCAGATTTGGGTCTTTTATTTGTAATATGTAATTTAATTTTAACATTTAACTTGAAGCTGAAGCACTATCAGTCTTACCAGTGTTGTTTTGACATTACAGTTTAAGAATTCCATAACTGTGCTGTTTAGTGACGGTAGTCATTAGCTACATGTGACTGTTAAAAAATTTGATTTCTCAGTTACTCCATGTTTCAAGTGTTCAGTAACTGCATGTGGCTGCTGACTACTGTGTTGGGCAGTGCTAATATAAAACATCATAGAAGGTTCTACTGGGCAGAATTGTTCAAGATTTTGGAATCATCAGATTATAAGTACAAATAATCTCTTTTTAAAAGTCAAAAC